AGGGATTCCTGGAAGTCCATGCCTGAAAGAGATACAACAAATTGTTCTGACAAGTACAGCCCACACTTTACGAAGGGATATATATATATTGTCAGTGGAAAGTGTCATGATGCCATTTCTAACCTTAGGTCCGTGGGCGGGACCAGGAAAGAAATGTGTAAACGCCAAAAATCAATGGAAAAAAAAATAATAATTATTGATATAACAATCAAGGTATTTTAAAAATTAAGAAAATATAAAAACCTGGAAATCGAAAGAGAAAAAAAAATGTGGAAATTGAAAACAAAGAAAAGTACCCCAATCATAGTAGGTGGACATTGGAATGAAAAAAAAAAGAAACACATTGAAAAATATCTCTTAAAAATCCCATCTTAAGAGAAATACCCAAAAATGTCTTGATAAATACAACCCACACACTAAGAACTTTGTCCATGGAACGGTGGAGATGTTATGGGATTTGAAAAAAACAAATCATGAAATGTAGCCATTAAAGACACAACACTACCTGCCTTTGGGCTTCCCGTAAACTTGTTAGGTCATGTGACCAGAGCAGAAATTGAAATATAATAATATTAGGTTGGTGCAAAAATAATGACGTAATAATGTCGTTTTTTGACGTATTTTTTAACGTCAAAAAACGACATTATTACGTCATTATTTTTGTACCAACCTAATAATAACAACAACAACAACAACAACAAAACTTAGAGAATACCGCGATTTGATAAATGTAGAAGATAAAACCCAATATTTAAAAATGTTCAACCGTATTTCGACAGTATGTATGCCTTCTTCAGGTTATGCTTTACAATTGTATACAAGTATTAGCGATATAAAAAATCTACAATATTTCTCAAGACAAGCGACGTTTGTAGAAAGACTTGTATTTTTAAAAAGTATTTTTTTATACTTGTATGCAATTTTAAATATAATCTGAGGAAGGCAGACATAATGGCAAAATATTGCTAAATATTGTTAAACTCTCTACCGCTTTTTTTTTTTAAATCGCGTTCTTCTCGAAATGCTGTAATAATAATAATAATAATAATAATAATAATAATAATAGCAACAACATATTGGCGTCATAGATAGCATTTATCCGTGTTCATGAAATAAGCTTCAAAGTGAAGGTTTGTCAAAAACAAAAATAGATTTGATACATCCTTGCAAATAATAATAATAATAATGATAATAATAATAATAACAATATATTTTCAGCTATATATAGTTTTTGGATGTGTACATGATATAAGCTTTGGCGTAATCTTCTATAAAAAGCGAAAATACATTTAATACAAACGAAGGAATAATAATAATAATAATAACAATAATAATAATAATAATAATAATAAAAGGAAAAGAAACATTAATAATGAGCAGGAAGAGGAAAGAGTAATCAAGTACAATAATAAAGCCAATATAAAGCAATAATAATAATAATGACAATACTACTACTAATAGTAATATAATGTCAATCACAGTTTTTAAATTTGTGCATGAAATAATATTTGGCCTAATGGTCGATAAAAACGAAAATTCTTTTAATACAAACTAAGGAATAATAATAATAATAATAATAACAACAATAATAATAATAATAATAGTAAGCGTCTTTACTCCGTAATAAAAGAAGCCAACAAATTCAAAATGGAGTTTCAAATGGGCGTAGAGATGCAACTACAGCACAATACACCAGCTGAAACTGCAAAATACTTAAAAAAGACAGCAAAGACGAATGCAACCGACCAGACACAGAAGCGATGGCAAGATAAACCGCTTCATGGCCAATACTCTGCCCGTACCAAACAAGCTGACGTAGACAAAACCCGTACCCATCAGTGGCTACGTAGTGCAGGGTTGAAAGCGGAAACTGAAGGTTTTATCCTTGCTGCGCAGGACCAATGCTTGTTAACTAGGAATTATCAGGCACATATACTAAAATATTATGTCAGCCCAAAATGCAGATTCTGTGATAAATATCCAGAAACGATTGATCATCTTGTAACAGGTTGCACGATATTGGCACCCACTGAATATAAAACCCGGCATGACAGAGTGGGCCAATATCTGCACTGGAAAATCTGCAACTTCTACGGGAAGAAAACTGAAAGAAACTTGTATGAACACCAACCAGACCCGGTTACGGAGATAGGACCTGTTACAATTCTATGGGATTACACAATACACACTGACAGAACAATCAAAGCCAACCGGCCAGATATTGTTATTAAAGACCACAAACAAAAACGGTGCCTCCTTATTGATATGGCAGTCCCTGCTGACTGCAATGTATCTTTGAAGATATTCAAAAAGCTGTCAAAATACAAGGACCTTGAAATAAAAATCTCAAAAATGTGGCATATCGGAACATCAACAATCCCTGTTGTGGTTGGAGCCCTAGTACCGGTTGGAACGGATTGCAGTAGACTAATTGAAGGGATTCCTGGAAGTTCATGCTTCAAGGAGATACAACAAATTGTTCTGACAAGTACAGCCCACACTTTACGAAGGGCTTTATCTATGTAATTTATTTTATTTTATTTTATTTTATATTTTTTTTGTCAGTGGAAAGTGCCATGATGCCATTTCTAACCTTAGGTCCTTGGGTGGGACCCGGAAAAAAAAATGTAAACGCCAGAAGTCAAAGAAAATAATAATAATAATAATAATATATATATATATATATATATATATATATATATATATATATATATATATATATATATATATATAATATTAGTGGTCAGTATATATATATATATATATATATATATATATATATATACATTGATACATGTTTCATTAAATAATATAGACAAGTGTTGTCTATTTATTTTATGTAAATTCTTTTCATATGGTCTGATAATCTTAATAACATTATCATTAAAAGAAGAAAGAAAATCACAAAATTGATACATATTTTTAAATCCAATCTAAGCTTTCGGCTTACATAAGCCATTATCAAAGATGACAATGACAGTACAATATATTATACAATACACGGACAGTTTATCGTAGATGTCCTGTTTGTTGCTATTAAGGTTCTTCAATTTTTCCTTGGCTATTTCAATTTGCCTTTTCACAAGGCTTCATTTATAATTCCAAATGTTGATAGTTTGGTGGGCTACTGAATCATGTTATTTAAAATGTGTGTATTTAGGCAGTATTTCTTCATTGATATCAATGAAAAATGCTGCCTAACACACACACACACACACACATATATATATATATATATATATATATATATTTATAAATTCCCAAGAGGATAGAATCCAGGTAGAACTCAATCGTAATCATGATCCAAATTTGAAGTGATTACGATTCCAATGTAATAAATTATAGCCATGGAATATTAGTGTTTGAGGTTTATATATATATATATATATATATATATTGTTATTCATAGACAGTTTTTAGATGTGTACAGGAAATAATCTTTGACGTAATGGTCTATAAAAAACGAAAATAAATTTGATACAGAATTTATAATAGCCTGAAGTCATAAATAGTTAATCTTTTTTTTTTTTTTTAAATTAATTCATGATTTAATTTCTTTTCATTTAAAGTTGTTCATATTTTTCCTGTGATTAAACTAGGATTTTAGTAAAAGAAATATTTCAGGAAACTAAACACCCTTTCCTTCCAGATTTAGCACCTATACCTTACAAAAAAAAAAAAAAAAAAAAAAAGAAAAGAAAGAAAAACGAAAGAAAAAGATATTGTTATTCTTTAGCCGGTATTTCGTCCTCCCTTAGTATCTGTCGGAAATGGTCAGATTTTCAAAGGTCACGGGTGTAACAGGTTTAGATAAAGCAGAAAGTAAAATTAGATCGGCAACTGTTGTCTTTCCAAAACCACATACGCTCCAGCAATGATGCGAAGACACCCACAGTCCGATTTATCCAGCATTTAAAATCTCGCATAAATATAGTGATGAGATTTTGACTCGGGGAATCCAAATATGCTTGAATATCGTGGAAATATTAAACTAATTAAATCTAGAATATTAAAAAAAAAACAATGAAGTTCTCTACAAACGATGGAAAGCATATCCAATTTGAATTGTGTCTTCTCTGCTTGGCAATAGTCAAACTTGAATAATTAAAATAGCTGAATTCATTTCAGAGTCTTTTACAGTTAACGTTTTCAGCCCTCACCTGTTGGACTAAGTAGATTAATATACAGTGATCCCTCGCTAATTCGCGGTTCTACAATCGCGGACTCACGACTTCGGGGATTTTTAATATTTATATATATATATATATATATATATATATATATATATATATATATGTCCATAAAGTTCATGTGCACTTTAAAAAATTTATAACTTTATTTGTATTTGCGATAGAAATAATCTGTAAAAATGTTATAAAGTTTAATGTACCTAGTTTTAAGTCTAGCTAAAATAATTAATGTGATTTCAGGCATTACTGTAAATCGATTGGCAAATGTTTTCCAGAACCGATAAACGAGGGATCACTGTGCACCGAAATATAACCTGTTTGCGCGACTTTATACCAAGCGCTTCCTTGTTCACAAATATTAATATATTCAGCCTATGTCTGTTGGAAAGAGTAGATTAAAATACTTCTAGTTCATCATGCCTGAAAATTGAAAAATATGAAACTTTGCAACAGACTGTAGTCTGTCAACACCAAAATGTAGCTCTGTTTGCACAACTTTTTATTTAAGCGCTTTCATTTTCACATAGCGTAATATTTACAGCCTTTATCTGTTGGAAAGAATAGATTAAAGCAATTCCAGTTTGAAAAAATATGAAACTTTGCATCAGACTGTAGTCAGTCAACACCAAAGTGATAAATGAATCGTTTATAGAGTAAAAAATAAAATTATATTCCGGCTTTTCTGTGTTCCTGTAGAGCTAATTATTCGCATAGAGTTGAGATCCTTACTTGGCGGCTTTCGAGTCGTACGTTTCTTATTTTAACATACAGTTAGAGAGTGAAGAATTCTGAGAAGAAAAGTATAACACTATGTTAATTCTACCAATCGTGATAGGTACGTGTGCAAGACTAAATGCAGCTGAGTAAATATTGATAGGAAGCATGACGCTACAATGCTTTGTCCCGCCAAGCAGTACTGCGGTATTTTCTAGGATGAGGAACTGACAATAATGTGGAAATTTCATTTGTGATGAAGATAGAGATACCATCATTATATCCGCTTGTTAAGGAGGGATGTGAGGGTGGTGTAATGGATAGCGGCCCGGAAAAAAAGATCGTAGATCCGAGTTTGAATTCCAGTCGAGTTCATTTTATTAACTAATGCATAAATATATTCGCACTTCAAGTATATGGATTTACCAGTTGGCTCTTTGCTTTCTTTTCAACCAAGTTATTTAAAAATTTAAATCGAATGATTTTTTATGTGAAAATAAATTGGCAAATGATTTTTACTATGAAAATGTATTGGCCATTGATTTTATTATGAAAATACATTGCCAATGGCTTTACTAAGAAAATGCATTGGCCAATGATTTTTATTATGAAAATGCATTGCCATTGATTTTTTACTATGAAAATGCATTGTCAAAGATTTTTATTATGAAAATGCATTGGCCAATGATTTTTATTGTGAAAATGCATTGGCCAATGATTTTTATTGTGAAAATGCATTTCGAATAATTTTTATAATGAAAATGCATTGGTCAATGATTTTTATTATGAAAATGCATTGCCAATGATTTTTATTATGAAAATGCATTGGCCAATTATTTTTACTATGAAAATTGGCCAATGAATTTTACTATGAAAATGCATTGTCAATGATTTTTATTATGAAAATGCATTGGCCAATTATTTTTATTATGAAAATGCATTGGCCAATTATTTTTACTATGAAAATTGGCCAATGATTTTTACTATGAAAATGCATTGTCAATGATTTTTATTTTGAAAATGCATGGGCCAAAGATTTTTACTCTCTACACACACAGACACAAAATAACTGCTAACAGAAAAAAAATGTCTCGTGTTTTCCATATTGAGAAAAATACAACTCTTATGTTCTTCATATTTTATTTTCTAATCAAAGACAACTGGGAAGGGACTGTGGAAATGGACGATTTTATCGGCTCGCTTCAGAAATAATCATAGGTAGGAATAAATTCATTGCCGATCGTCCGGGTTGAATTACGGCAAAATGTTTCGCCAACTCAGAGTTGTCCGGACTGTTCGGGTCGGAGAATAATGGAAGCCTCGTCAAAGGACAAAGTTGCTGAGTGATAGCCATCGCTTAGTAGAGATGAAAGAGATCGTTTTGTGATTGATTGGTTGTTTGGCTTATAGATTGGTTCTCTCGTTTGAACCTCGAAAGATAGAGATGTAAGAAATCAGAGAAGAATTTGATGGGTTGGGGGAGACGATGAGGAGATAAGAGGAAGAATAAGGAAGAAAAAGAAAAGGAAGAATAGGTGAAACAAAAAGAGGAGGAGTGAAAGGGAATGAAGAGGGAGAAGGGAAAATGGTTAAGGTAGAAGAAGAAGAAGAATAGGAAGAGAAAAAGAAAAACCGAAAACGAAAAGTTTATCTTCTACGATCTGTAGCGGGGGGGGGAAAGAAATGACGTAGAGGAGAAAATAAAAAATGAGGAGGAGGAAGGAGAAGAAAAAGAAGCAGGAGGCGAAAAGGAGGAGGAGGAGATGCTGTAGAAGCAGGGGAATAAGAAAAAGGAGGAGGAGAAATAGGAGGAGGAGGAGGAGGAGAAGGCGCAGGAGAAGAAGAAGCAAGGGGAGGTGACAAAGAAGGAGAAGGAGCAGGAGAAGAAGGGGTGGAGGCGGAGGAGGAGAAGAGGGGGAGGAGGAAGTAGAAATGATGAAGAAGAAGAGGGAAAAGAAAAAGGAGGAGGAGGAGGAGGAGGAGGTGAAGAATAAGAAAAGGGCGAAATTTTTCTATTCTCCATTTTCATTCTGGTTCGTTAAATATTTCACGCCCCCACTTTATCTGTTTTATTTATTCTTTCTTTTTCTGTTTTTTTCTTTCTTTCTTTCTTTCATTTTTTTTCTTTCTTTCTTTCTTACTTTCTTTCTTTCTTTTTTTTCTCTTCTTTTCGAGTTCACCTTTCTTTTTCATTTTCACTGTCTCATTCTCGATTTTTCTTTCTTACCTTCTGTCGCTTTCATTAGCCATTTTTCATTGTCTCCTTTTCTTTCTTCTTTCACCATTTCTCTTTCATTTAACTCATTTTCTCTCTCTTTCTTCCCGTCTCTCTCTCTCTCTCTCTCTTACTTTTTCTCATTCGTCGATTTTATTTTTTTCTCTCTCTCTCTCTCTCTCTCTCTCTCTCTCACTTATTGATTCTATCTCTCCACTTCTTTCTCAAATATCCACCCTGTCTCCGACTCTCTCTATATATATATCCCATCTATTTTTCACATTCTTTCTGTGTTTAGTATTTATTCTCTTTTTCTCTTTCTCTCGAACTCTTTCTCTCTCTTTCTCCCATTTTCTTTCTTTATATCTCCTCCTCTTTTTTACCTATTCTCTTTTCCCCCTTATTCTTTTATAAGTATACATTATATTAAAATATGAAAAAAAAATATTAAAAATATTATATTCACAACGTTTCGGTCGTTGAACGCTCCGACCTTCTTCGGGTGATTAGATCTCTAAGATGAGGTATTATGATTACTTGCTTTATTTACATTATTTGAACTTTTATCCTCATCTTCATTGCCATATTCACAACATTTCGGCCGTTGTACGCTCCGGCCTTCTTCATGTGGATAAATCTCTAAGATGAGGTATTATGATTACTTGAATTATTTATATTATTCTGATTGTTATCCTCATCTTCATTGCCATATTCACAATGTTTCGGCATCTATATCTCTGAGATGAGGTATTATGATTACTTGCATTATTTACATTATTTGAACTTTTATCCTCATCTTCATTGCCATATTCACAACATTTCGGCCGTTGTACGCCCCGGCCTTCTTCATAGATGTGTATATTTAATATTTGTTCGTTTATTTTGTTTATTTTTATCTCTTTGGTTAATTTTTTTTTTATTTTATGACTATTTTTATTTTTTGTTTTGTTTAATTACTTATTTTGTGTTTATTTATACTTGTATTTTTTCTTTATTTAATTTTGTTCATTCATTTTATGTTTATATTATATTTATTTATTTATTTTAAGTTTGAATTATATTTATATTATGTACCTATTTATATTAGAATTTATTTATTATTTTAATTGATGCTTAGACGGAAAAGAAAGTATTTATTTATATGCCACTTACCCATTATTTCTGTTTTTTGTTTAACAGATTTTTTTTCTAAAACTTATTATTGTTAATTTTTCCTCTAAGCATAGTTTACTTTTTTCACTGTTAATCCTGTATGAGGGTGCCCTTGTTGTAATTTTCCATTTGATTTTAGTATTGTTTTCTTTTTGAGTCGATATGTAAGCTGATAGGGTTGAATTCTTTGTGTATTTTTTCTTTCAAATGGCATTTCTTTTGCTGTGTTACCTATATTAATGTATCTATGTTAATGTTGTTAGTTACGGTAGCTTTGTATATTATGTTATTGCTTAAGTATTTATTGTTAACTGGGTAATTATTATTGTTTTTGCAGTTACATTTGGTGGTGTTATTTTGCTGACTGTTATTGTTAGTTTTCTTGATTTCTTGAGTACTTTTATTGTTTACTTATTATTTTCTCCATGCTATCTATATAGCTGGAACTAATTTTGATTGTATTTTATTGATATTTTTTTTGATTATTTGCTGATTTTCGGGACGTGTTTGCCAATTATTTTGAAGAATATATTCCCTATTTTTATTGTATTATTTATTTGTATTATATCTGCTGATTCTTAGGGTTTATTCGAATGTATTTAAGTTTTCATTAAATAATTTTAAGCTGCGAGAATATGTTGAAATTTTATTTTTATAGATACGGGTATTTGTTTGAATAAGTTGAGTCCTTTCATCTATAAGTTAAATAGGATGGTTGACTATTCAGAGTTATAATCGTATTCCTGCTGTACGAGTATCTATCATTATAGTTTCATTATTTCATTCTATGATGAAGCTTTAATAAAAGCGAAACATGTTAGATTCATAAACGTTCATATTTGTGCTTTATCCTATCAGACACATTTGGACACACACACACACACACACACACACACACACACACACACACACACATATATATATATATTGCCAATTTGTGATTGGTGGGGTTAATTCCAAGGAGGATATTAATCCAGGGAGTGCTTGATGTAAACTACAGAGAATAATAATAATAATAATAATAATAATAATAATAATATTGATAAAATTAATAATAATAATAATAATAATAATAATAATCAAAAAGAAAGATTAAAGATTAGTTTCGTTTATAATTTATTTCGGGAATATATATTCATCTCTTCAGACCGAAATATCTTAGTAGGATAGATAGATAGATAGATAGATAGATAGATAGATATAAATAGTCTAAGATAGATAGATAAATAGATAGATGAATAAAATTAGATAGATAGATAGATAGATAGATAGATATGAACAGACTGAAATATATAGATAGATAGATAGATAGATAGATAGATGACAAGAATTAGATAGCTAGATAGATAACGAAAAGACGAAAATAGAGATAGATAATGAATTGACTGAGGTAGATATACAGATAGATAGATAACGAAGAGATTATATATGGAGAGAGAGAGAGAGAGAGATAGAGAGATAGAGAGAGAGATAGATAACGAAAAGACGAAAATAGAGATAGATAATGAAAAAGACAGATGATAGATAGATAGGTAGATAGATATTGACTGGAAGATATGAGTGATATTCGGTTATAATTTATTTCGTTTATATCTCTATATATTCATCTCTTCAGATCGAAATCTTTTAGTAAAATATTTCACTTATATCATATTTTACAAAGAGATTCCGGTCTAAAGAGATGAATCTATCGAGATATTCACAAAATAAATTATATCCGAAATAATTCTTAAAGTCTTCCCTCATACCTGACACTGACAGATTAAACGAAAGAGGGACAGAAGAAAGTAATGCGAAACATACTTGATAATTTGACAATCTCTTTAAAGATAAAGAAGAGACTTAAAGCAACATAAATGTGGCTCTACAGAAGGATATTGAGAATACCATGGACCAAACATCTATGGGTTATTCAATGCCGAAATCTAAACATTTTGCTCGAAATATTGTGGAAACAGTTAACCGACTGAGCCGGCCAATTCGGTTGGTTGGTTGATTTTGTTTAGCGGCATATTAACCTCTGTATGTAGGTCTGCATTAAATTATTAATACTGCGACGGAAATATAATCCCAATGCCCTAAACAACAATAATGATTTAGTCTTGACTACAGTGTTGGCTTACCAAAGTAAAGGAGATATTCTGACACAAGTTTTAAAATGTTTTCCGCCATCTTGTGACGTAGCAACACTCATACTGATGATCTGTGGGAGTCAGAGCTTTAAACTTTTATAGATTCACACGGTCCAAATATTTAAAGTTGGCAGCTTGGTTGATTTTGTTTAACGGCACATCAACACATCTATGGGTTATTTAACGCCGAAATCTAAATATTTTGTATGCAGTTTTGCGACTTCAACTACAGATGTTTTTGTAGATAATTTTACACTTTCAGGATGAAAATATATTGTTTTTTTTTCGGCCGTTGTACGCTCCGGCCTTCTTCAGGAATTTCAAACCGAACCCTTTATTTCGTTCACCGGGGTAGATTGTTCTAGTTCCACGTGTCATGCCTCTCCCGGATGTCTCAGTTATTTCCCTTTAACTCAACTCTCCAAGTTTTTGGTCAACCACTGCTGTGGCCTGGTATTGAACTCATAACTATTTGGGTCTACTCATTGGATCTAACCAACGTTTTTATCCTCTGGGCCATGTGAATATAGCAATGAAGATGAGGATAACAGTCCGAATAATGTAAATAATGCAAGCAATCATAATATATCATATCAGAGATATAGGTAATCTGTATTGAACATTCAGAAATCTACCATTCGTCTGTGCCAAATCCGGTCTCTCTATCTAGAGAATCTGCAATATCATCGGCCCTGACCTGGCCTCTCGGCTCCAATCACTTTCCCATCAACGTAACGGAGCTAACGTGTGCCTTCATGAATATTTTCATGGCAACTGTTCTGATGAGTTTTGGTACATCGACATAATGAATTTAAGCGTCGGCATTGATTCGGATGTGGCTACCACATCTGGTCTGGTGCTTCTGCTATATATTTAGAGATTCTTGATAAAATCCAAAGAAGAATCTATCTTACATATTTATAAGTCTACCATTCATCCATACTTTGAATATTGCTGCCACATCTGGTCTGGTGCTTCTGCAATATATTTAGAGATTCTTGATAAAATCCAAAGAAGAATCTATCTTACATATTTAAAAGTCTACCATTCATCCTTGCTTTGAATATTGCTACCACATCTGGTCTAGTGCTTCTGCTATATATTTAGAGATTCTTGATAAAATCCAAAGAAGAATCTATCTTACATATTTATAAGTCTGCCATTGATCCTTGCTTTGAATATTGCTACCACATCTGGTCTGGTGCTTCTGCTATATATTTAGAGATTCTTGATAAAATCCAAAGAAGAATCTATCTTACATATTTATAAGTCTACCATTCATCCTTGCTTTGAATATTGCTGCCACATCTGGTCTGGTGCTTCTGCTATATATTTAGAGATTCTTGATAAAATCCAAAGAAGAATCTATCTTACATATTTATAAGTCTACCATTCATCCTTGCTTTGAATATTGCTACCACATCTGGTCTGGTGCTTCTGTTATATATTTAGAGATTCTTGATAAAATCCAAAGAAGAATCTATCTTACATATTTATAAGTCTACCATTCATCCTTGCTTTGAATATTGCTGCCACATCTGGTCTGGTGCTTCTGCTATATATTTAGAGATTCTTGATAAAATACAAAGAAGAATCTATCTTACATATTTATAAGTCTACCATTCATCCTTGCTTTGAATATTGCTACCACATCTGGTCTAGTGCTTCTGCTATATATTTAGAGATTCTTGATAAAAATCCAAAGAAGAATCTATCTTACATATTTATAAGTCTGCCATTGATCCTTGCTTTGAATATTGCTACCACATCTGGTCTGGTGCTATATATTTAGAGATTCTGCTATATATTTAGAGATTCTTGCTATAAAAATCTTGATAAAATCCAAAGAAGAATCTATCTTACATATTTATAAGTCTGCCATTGATCCTTGCTTTGAATATTGCTACCACATCTGGTCTGGTGCTTCTGCTATATATTTAGAGATTCTTGATAAAATCCAAAGAAGAATCTATCTTACATATTTATAAGTCTACCATTCATCCTTGCTTTGAATATTGCTGCCACATCTGGTCTGGTGCTTCTGCTATATATTTAGAGATTCTTGATAAAATCCAAAGAAGAATCTATCTTACATATTTATAAGTCTACCATTCATCCTTGCTTTGAATA